ATGGAGGGAGATTGAATACAGAGCCCACGTTTGTAATACTGCTACAAAACACAGAAAGAGAAACGTTATTCATGTTAAGCTGGAGGTTGGAGGAAGAGGCTCGCTGGGTATCGACAGCACATAGGCTTGGAGACGGAGGACCCAACACAGTGGAAGAATTCTCTGGGTTTGAGATAAGCAAGTAAACGCTTAGATCCGGAAGGCACTGGAGGGATTTCGCAGGTTATCTTACCTGAGACGCATTTAAGAGACTCTCCCCACCCCCCATCTCAGCTAAAAATTTCAAGTCAAATTGGAGGGGGAGGGGCTATCCCTTTAATAAAAACTACAAAAGCAAATAAACAGCTTACTGTATAATAGGTCAAATGTTGACGGAAGCGTGGCAGTCACCAGAGATGGTGTGAGTCCCCTAGGTGACAGGAATCAGGCCAAGGCCCACCTGAGGGAACCAAGGCGTCCATCCAGATTCTGGGAAGCCTGCTGGCTTTCGGAGACTAGGATGCTCTTGGAGGCGTGCTTTGTAGTTTGGGAATCACCAGTACTAGATGTTTTTAGGGCCAGGGAGCCGGGCCTGTCTGGCCTGGTGCTTCAGTTATGAAGCAGGCACATTTTACCCCCTTTGCGTATTGTTTACCTGTTTGTTTGTTTTGTTTTTGTTTTCCTTAAAAGCCCTCCATTCGTTTTGTTTAAAAGGCTCTTTCCAAGAGCCAAGGTGTCCATCGACAGATGACTGGATAAAGAAGATGTGGTATATATATACAATGGAATATTATGCAGCCATCAAAAGGAATGAGATCTTGCCATTTGCAACGACGTGGATGGAACTGGAGGGTATTATGTTGAGTGAAATAAGTCAAACAGAGAAAGACATGTATCATATGACCTCACTGATATGAGGAATTCTTAATCGCAGGAAACAAACTGAGTGTTGTTGGAGTGGGGGGTGGGGTGGGAGGGATGGGGTGACTGGGTGATAGACACTGGGGAGGGTATGTGCTCTGGTAAGCGCTGTGAATTGTGCAAGACTGTTGAATCTCAGATCTGTACCTCTGAAACAAATAATGCAATATATGTTAAGAAAAAAAAAAGAAGAGGGTAGCGGGAGGGGAAGAATGAAGCGGGGGAAATCGGAGGGGTAGATGAACCATGAGAGACGATGACTCTGAAAAACAAACAGGGTTCTAGAGGGGAGGGGGGGGGATGGGTTAGCCTGGTGGTGGGTATTGAGGAGGGCACGTTCTGCATGGAGCACTGGGTGTTGTGCACAAACAATGAATCATGGAACACTTCATCTAAAACTAATGATGTAATGTATGGGGATTAACATAAGAATAAAAAAAAAAGGCTCTTTCCACTGGGTGTTATACAGAAACTGATAAATTATTAAACATACCTGAAACTAATGAATACAATAAAAAGGATCTTTGGTCGCTTACTGGGCTTCCGTTAAAAGCATACACGTTTTTCGAAAAAAGAAATAGCAGTCTCCTAATAGGAAGGATTTTGGCGGAGTAGGAGTTCGGAGGCCACGATCTGTGCTCCCGCTGTTTTGATTTTTCCAACAGAAACGCAGGATGCCCATAAAAAGCTGCTTCAACTTAACACTGCTTGAGGGGATTGTGGCCAGAAGCTCCTGGCGCCCAGTGAGGCCAGGGAAGGACGCCACCACCAAGGCCGCACAACACCCAGGGGCTCACTACCAGCGCGCCCAGCGGATCCCGACCTCACCCATTAAGGGGCGGGGCGGGGGCGGTGCTGCTGGGGAGGGTGGCCTGAGGACTTCCTGGAGGTGACGCGCGCCCTCACCCCATCGGGCCCCCGCCTTTATAAAGCCAAGGCCGCGCTCCCTCGCCCGCTGCTGGCTCGGTGGAGACTGAGCCGAGAGGCCTTTGCGGGATACACGCCTTTAAAGGAACTCAGCTTCAGGCCAGGTCTTGCGCCCCGTCGCGCACTCCAGTGCCCCAGGACCCCCGCGGAGCAGCACATCACAATCAGACCGGGTGGCACGCTCCTTTCTGAGCACAGAGGTGGCTCTGAAAAGAGCCTTTGGGTTCCGGGGCGCCCGGCGCGCCTCACTTGGAGCTGGTGTACTTGGTGACCGCCTTGGTGCCCTCGGACACGGCGTGCTTGGCCAGCTCCCCGGGCAGCAGCAGGCGCACGGCCGTCTGCACCTCGCGGGACGTGATGGTCGAGCGCTTGTTGTAATGCGCCAGGCGAGACGCCTCGCTGGCGATGCGCTCGAAGATGTCGTTGACGAACGAGTTCATGATGCCCATGGCCTTGGACGAGATGCCCGTGTCGGGGTGCACCTGCTTCAGCACCTTGTACACGTAGATGGAGTAGCTCTCCTTGCGGCTGCGCTTGCGCTTCTTGCCGTCCTTCTTCTGCGCCTTGGTGACGGCCTTCTTGGAGCCCTTCTTGGGCGCGGGCGCCGAGCGGGAGGGCTCCGGCATGGCTAGCGGGGCGGCGGCGGGGCGGCGCCCAGATGCGCGGGGGCCGCGCCGGCAGCGCTATTTATCGTCTCCATATTCAAATGAAGGCTCCAAATCGCTGGAATCCGATTGGACGGCCGGCTGCGCCGCCGGGACCGCTAGGAATTTATGTAAATAGCAGACGCCGGCTCTTCTTTCCTATTGGGCGGCAATCCGGCCAATCCGAAGACGCGTGTGCCGCGCGCGGGGAGTCAGGTTGAGCATCTTCGTTCCAGCCGGGAGAGAGCTCTTTGTCTAGTCGTAGGTTCTGGATGGGACAAAATAGGAACAGGAATACGGACACTAAAATACGGAAATAAAAACCGGTTTAACCCCGCGTCTCCATCTTCTCCGGCCAAGGGCAAACACATTTCTGAGGCCAAAGGCTGGGGCGGAGAAGCTGATACTTATTGAGCAGAGGGAATGGGGAATAACTTAACTATTTCCCATCAGCCTCCCCCCCGCAAAGAGGCCAGTTTAAGAGTTCATGAGCAAATGCAAAGGACTCTTTAGGAAACACCGAAAATACGTTAAGGTACTTATACTGGAAGTGTAGCTACAGGGCAGGCGTTCAAATGGAGGGAGGAAATGAATCGGTTTCAAGGGAAACAGTCCTCCTTCCAATTGTTTATTTCAACGCTGACAACTCCCCTTTGAAGTGACAGGTACATGCTAAGTGCTGCATACACAGGATCTCATCTAGTCCGCTAAAACGTCCGACGGTTAGGGGCACCTGCCTGGCGCAGTGGGTTGCGCTGGACTCTTGGTTTAGGCTCAGGTGGGGATCTGGGGTCGTGATTTGGGTCGTGATCTCTGGGTGGTGGGATTGAGCCCTGCAACAGTCTCGGTGTCAGTGGGGAGTCTGCTTGAAAATTCTCTCCCTCTGCCCCCCCACACGTGGGGGCCCGCTCTCGCTCTCAAATAAATAAAACTTAAAAAAAAAAATCCTGCAGGTAAGTGCTATTCTCTAACTAGGCATCAGAACACAGGCTTATAGACCTGTTAAATGATAAGCTGAGGCCTATTAAAAATGTTAAGAATTTATCTGAGCAAAAATTGATTAGAATCAGGCAGCACCCAATTTAACAGATAGAAAGGAGTTCCAAGGAGCTGTACAAAATGAAAACCGTGTATAGGCAGAACTGAATGTGAACAAGAAGTCACGCAAAGCAAAGAAAGCAATATTGCGGGGCACCTGGGTGGCTCAGTCGTTAAGCGTCTGCCTTTGGCTCAGGTCATGATCCCAGGGTCCTGGGATCGAGCCCCACCTCGGGCTCCCTGCTCTGCGGGAAGCCTGCTTCTCCCTCTCCCATTCCCCTACTTGTGTTCCCTCTCTCTCTGTCAAATAAATGAATAAAATCTTAAAAAAAAAAAAAAGAAAAAAGAAAGCAATATTGCAAGGTCCCTTTCCTTTTCCAGGATGGCAGGGGGCTATCAGACCAATTACCTCACTAGAGCTGATCAGGGAATTCCTGACTGACACCATTCTGGGAGAGCTAACACTTTCAATAAATTAAGTCTTGGTTAGCTGACCAGAAGCTTAGCATAAGGCACTCCGTTTTGGACCTTTTGTCCTGTTTTTATCA